TTTTCGTTTTTACTATTCATATATACCTAGCGCGATGACATTTTATGTCTATTTCAAGTCTGTAAAAGCGTTTTTAAATCCGTTCAATCGTTTCGGTGTTATCCATTAGAATGCAAATGTCGGTAATTGCCGACCTTTCAGCATCCTCTTAAAGACTCAAAATTTGAAAAATTAAGATTGTTTATGTATAAATAATCAAAAAGTTGACGATTTGTTTGGAAATTTTCCATTTTGAAAAACTACCCTGTGAACTTCTCGCCGTGCGTAAGTCGCGCGGTTGGAGGAGACCCACAGGAACGAGGGCGTGAAACTCGGACACGGTTGAAAATAGGAATTCGGCAATTGAACAGCACCACGTTTATTAAACTAAATGAGCTCGTTACAGATAGAACAATGAAAATGAATAATCGCGAAAGCGCGCGCGTGTGAACTCCGTCCCGAACTGCACAGAAACTTTCCGGAGATGCGACGCGGGTTTCGAAAGTCTGCCAGCTCGAGAGTGCTGATAAAACGAAAACGGAAAAAAGGCGCCGAGCTCGCTCTCCCTTCGCGTCAGGCTGCTCGATCCGCCCGGTCATGGGAGAGAGGGCCTCGAGCCCCCAAGTATTTTACCAAATATGACAATTTCCGCTCATGTTTTTCGGCGTAAACATGTGTTGTGTAGCTTCTTTCCCTGTTGCCAAGGTCGAAGCGTCGGTGACACGCCTCGGCCCCGATCAACGATGGTGATGGAAGAAGCTACGTTCGACTCTGAACAATCCAAATAAAAATTAAATACGGATAAGATACTATCCTAATATCAACTTTTAATATTGAAAAAAATCAAATTAATACGTTACAAATTGATACCAATTCTCAATACTGCAACGATGTTCTACAAACTCAGCAAATTTTATTAGAGAAACACAAACCAACAGACTCTATTGAACAGAAAGACCAACACATCTAACTATTATAGGAACCGCAATCGCAAGATCAACAAACTACATTAAGAGCCCACAAAAGGCATTCAGTTTTACGTCCTTACGCGGATGTATTACTTATATTAGGGATGTCGATTCTTGATTCGATGCATCGAGAATCGATTTTTTTTTTTACGATTATTTACTGCAATTCTTTGAGTAGTCGATTAATCGAGAATTGATTCTTTTCTATACTGAATCGAAAATCATCCTCGAACGTATCGAAGTGGAACCATGAAGTATGAAATATGAAAGTAAGTAACACCAATCGTGGCCTAAGATTCGTGCGTTCCGAAATCAATCAAACAAAAAGTGTCGCAACTATTCTGTCCACGAGTGTATACATACATTTATGGACATTGGACAATGATTCGTCCCTCCCTAGATCTAATAAATTGTGAAACAAGTCCTAAAGATGTCTCAGTATATACCTAGTACATATCAAAGCGTCTTAATCTAATATGTTTTCCTTTTGTATTATGTTATGCAAAGTATCCGATATAAATAAAAATGTTTAAAAAGTATAGAATAAAATTTTTAAGATACTTAGTCAACGTGAGAACTAAATACAAAATTATATTAATTTAATTGGTGATTGGGGAAGAGGCCCTTGCGTGACAAAGAGAAGTCAAAGCAAGTTAAAGAGAATCCGTGATTCCTATAACAACTTTTTATAAGTTTCGTGCTGTTTGTCAGGAGTGTCCGGTAATTGATTTTATTCAGTGTGACAATACCACAATATTTCAGTAATGCTAGACTAAAATAATGAATAATTTGTTATACGTATTAATATCTTATTACAGATTTTAGAAAAAATGTCTCGAATATCACAAAATTTTTCTGTGAAGGATTCTTTCAGAAAAATTGATACTGTATCCTCTAGATGTAAACATTGTCTGCAAATTTTTAAGAATTATGGGAATACAACGAATTTAAGAAACCATTTAATAAGAAAACACCCGCTCATCGTGGAAAACATTCTGAACTCGCTTCCTGACCAAAGAAATGATAATAATGCGGATGATGTCGACATTGTTAACGATATTGAAATTGATGCTTGTTCTTCTAATACGTCTTCTGCGTCTCAATCAACGGACATATCTTCCACGTCTCAGTCAACAGACATGCCTTCTACATCTCGACCAACAGATGTACATGCAATGTTTAATACATCTGGTTTAAAATCGAATTCGAAAAGAAAAAAGATTTCAAACACGATACGCAATGTGGGAGACTTGACCATTTCAAGTGCATTAAAAAAAAATAGATTCATTTGCTGGTGAATATTATTTGTTTCTATTTTTGTAAAAATTGGTATATAACATTTTAAAAGTAATAAAAAATATCAAATCAATTATTTTATCTAAAATTTTATATTTAATAATGAAGTAGTTATTTTTTATTAAATATTTTACTTTATTTATTTATTAGATAGCAGTGAAAAAGCAAGTGAAATCTTAAAAGCACTATTATTTATGTTGGCAAAAGACGGTTTACCTTTGTCCATGACAGAAAAAGAAGGATTCCATTGGTTTATGAAGACTATAGCACCGCTTTACAAAGTTCCTTGCAGAAACACAATAACGCCATGGACTTAAAATATGATGAGATAACTGATAAGTCAATATGTTAAAAATGAATTATTAAACATAAAATGTGTAATTTTAACTACTGATGTATGGACAGAACAACTACAAGTTATATCGGTTTAACAGGTACATTATTTGGATGAGAAAGATTTTCAATGTACAATTAACATCGGCATTACAAAACTTAGCGAAAGGCATACCTCGGAGTATTTAAGTAAAATTCTGTTAAGTATTTGTGATGAATGGAACA